TGAGCCATTGATCACAACTCTCTGACTGCAACCATCAAGCCAGTTCCTTATCCACCGGGTGGTCCATCCATCAAATCCATGTGTCTGCAATTTATAGACAAGGATGTCGTGTGGAACAGTGTCAAATGCTATAAGAGACTGAAATGTGGAACGTTATTCTCAAAGATTGCTTATCTACAGCAAGACACCTGCAGCGGCAATGCTGTGGAGACCCCTGACTTGCAAGCCATGCTGGCTGTCACCAATCACCTCCGCATTCTCCATGTGCCTCAGCATGGCTTCTAGGAGGATCTGCTCCACGACCTTGCCAGGCACAGAGGTGAGACTGAGTGGCCTGTAGTTTCCCGGGTCCTCTTTTTTCCCTTTTTTAAAGATGGGGGTTATGTTTCCCCTTTTCCAGTCATTGGGAACATCACCAGACTGCCACGACTTTTCAAATATGATGGATAGAGGTTTTGCAACTGCATCCGCCAGTTCTTTCAGGACCCGCGGATGTATTCCATCAGGTCCCATGGACTTGTGCACCTTCAGGTTCCTCAGGCGTTCCTTAACCTGATCCTCGCTGACCATGGGCAGCTCTCCATTCTCCCAGTCCCTGCCCTTGTCTTCCATGACTCTGGGGGTATGGCTTGCACCATTGATAGTGAAGACCGAGGCAAAAAATACCACTGAGCACCTTGGCCTTTTCCATGTCCTAGGAAACCAGCTCTCCTGTTTCCTTCTGAAGAGGGGCCATATTTTCCCTGATCTTCCTTTTATCACTTATGTACCTACAGAAGCCCTTCTTGTTGGCCTTGATTTTTGAGATACCTTTAAGAATGAACTCCAGAAATAAGTACGTGAACCATAAAACTTGTCCCATTGTTGAGCACTGTTCAGGGGGAAAAAATGAGAGTTGGATACAGAAGCAATCTGATATGCAGGAGTTCAGGATCCGAACAGGCAAAAGCAGGGGAAGAAGCAGGACCACTACTATGGATTTCGAGTCAGCAGTCTTCAAACTCTTCAGAAGTCTGCTTGGAAGAAAGAATCCATGGGAAACCACCTTGGAGAGAAGAGCAGTCCAGGAGAGCTAGTTGATATTGAAGGATCACCATCTTCAAGCTCAATACAGGTCTAGCTCAACAAGTATCAAAATCAAGCAAAGGTTGCAGGCGGCCTGTATGGATGAGCAAGAACAACTGAACTCACACATAAAAATCAAGTGTACTAGTGGTGAAAACATGAAGAAATGACCCAGGAGGGGTACAGGGCTGGTGTCTGATCTTACAGGCACAGGGTTAAGAAAGTGAAGCCAACCTGGATCTGAATTTAGCAAGGCATGTGAAAGGAAAGAAGAAAGGGTTCTACAGATACATAATCAACAGAAGGAAGAGTAGGGAAACCATGGACCTGCTGCCACATGGAGGGGGAAACTTATGACAAATCACACTGGAAAGGTTAACGTACTTGATGCCATCTTTGCCTGTCTTGATTGTTAAGACCAGCCCTCCAGGAATCCCAGACCTCTGCAACCAGAGGGAAAGCAAGGAAGGGCAAGACCAATTTAGCCTCAGTGGAGGACCACTAGGTCAGGGAGCACTTAAACAACTGGACATAGTAAGACCATGGGGCCCGACAGGTTGCATCTCTGAGTGCTGAGGGAGCTGGCTGATCTCCAGCTTGTTGTCCACCAGGACCCCAGGTCTCATGATTCAAATATCACAACCAAAGATAATTAAGGGACCTTAGCATCTTTCATGTGATAAGAGGAGGAGAGCGAACTGGGACTCTTCATTCTGGAGAAGAGAAAACTCAGGGTGATTTTATCAATGGGTATAAATACGTGATGGGAGGGAAAGAAGAACAGGGAGTCAGACTCTTCTCAGTGGTGCGCACTGACAGGAGAGGAGACCACAGGCACAAATTAAAACCCAGGGAATTCAATCTGAACACAGAAACCTACTTTTTTACTGTGATGATGATCAAACAGTGGAGCAGGTTCCACAGAGATGCTGTGAAAGTCTCCTCTGCAGAATATTCAAAACCTGACTGGACCTGGTCCTGGCAACCTGCAGTAGCTGGCCTTGCTTGAGCAGCAGGGTTGGACTAGATGATCTCAAAAGGTTTTCTCCAACCTCAACCGCTCTGTAATAAGGTGGGGTATCCCTTGGAGACCTGAATTTTATGACAGGTGTCTAACAACTTTACAGAAATGGTGAACAGCCAAAACTACAATGGCACAGCTATTTTAATAGTTTGCTTAAAAAATCCGATGGTGGAAGAACAGCTCTGAGACTTCAGCAGAGTATGCATGATCAAAATCTCACTAAAGGTAGTTAAATTTCTTATTTAATTATCTGAACAAATAATTCCCGTATATTTTATCCCTTAAGTAGCTATGATAAGTGACTGTATAGAAATAAAATATGAGCTCATAACACAAAAACACATACCAAACCCTTCAGATCTACACAGTAATGTAACAAGAGGGAACAAGGCACTCCTACTTACACACAAAACAAACTGATAAATATAAATTTAGTTGAAGAAGCATCACTTAAGTTCATAATTCCTACAGTATTAACAGTGCATGCACAATTGCAAAACAGTGTTATTCTGTAAAACAAGAAAACTAAGACCACCTGTTCTAGACAGACTTGATACTGCTCCACATGCCAGAGAAACCTACTTCTAATAAAACAGGCTGCAGCATACAGTACAATTTGTTCAGTGTGCTCACATGCATGTTGAAAGGCTGCTGTTTGACAACACTACTTGACACTAGTAGTCACAAAGGACAATATTTTTGGTCAGAATTAATCCTTTCATTAAATTTCATAGAAAGAGACATTTTACTGCAAGACATGAAGTCTAAGGTGTATGTGTTATGACAACATGTTGAATCTAAACCTACAAAAACTCTCCTTTTATTCAGTAGTTACCTTATATAAATAGATGCCTTAAAATCCAATTTCATCCACTGGTCATAAAAGGCAAAAAGGAAGAGATTGTATCTTGGCACAGGGATGAAGTACAGCAGTCAAAGATTATCAGTGTGTACCAATAATCAGATCATGTCCGTCTTAGGAATACATCCATTTGCAAATTTTTGTGTAACAACACAAATAAAGTTCCATTCCACAGTGCTCAGCGGATTTTGCAATATCCTGACAACTACTGCCTCTTGCTTTCTGCTTTTATCATATTAAATAGCACTTACCCTGCTCTCTTCTAGACTGTCAAAAGGACCCGGAGGATCATCCAGACAAAGAAATTCTCTCACTGCAAGACTTATCAAATAAAAGAGAATTAATTACTTGAAGTACAAAAACAAAACAACACTTAAATAAGATCATACAAGGGGAGTATTTCTTTAAGGGACACAAACATCTATCCTCAGATTTACTCCCAGGCATTCAAAATAATGTTAACTATTAAGGCTCAGTTGTATGTGTTAACCAAAGACAGTATTTAAAACGTGACCTAAGTTGCACAAGTACAGTTAAGAGTTTTCAAACAGAGTAAGTCAGTTTAAAACATGATTTTTCACATCTTCACAGAGTTTGTTGCTACATGACAAATGAAAAGCAAGTTTATCGCTTTGGTATTGAAGATGTTTGAAAAATTCTCCTGGTAAAAAATAAATATTAAAAAATAGATGAAAGAAGTACGCTGCTAAAATCCATACACAGATCCCTTCAGGAAACATCAGAGGAACTAAGTATGGTTACTGAAACATGCTTATATGTCTCCATTTTCTTAAGATAATAATCCAGTAACAATAGAGTATGTAACTTTTATATATACATATATAGATATAAAAGAGTCATAAGCTATAAAAAAGGTAAGGAATAGCAAGGTTAACGTGCCATGGATATAGTACATAACCATCTCTAAACATACATTGCAAACTAATGCATTCAACTAAAAATTGTGTGGCAGTTGTCATCCCCATCTGTGCGTTGTTTTGCCAAGGCCAGAAGGAAGTACGTGCAAATCCTGCGGTTTACTGCAGTGCAGTTTGAGCATCTTGCTCATTCTATCTTCCAAGTTTATATTACTTTTCACAGAACTCACCATCTCCAAACGTGTCCCTTCAGCCACCTTTACATTACTGTTGTCGTATTCATTCTTCCATAAATAACCTCCCAATCAGAATACTGTATTCACAATTAATTAGCAAGTAGTAACTTATTAGCAACTCTGTGCTTTCACTCACTACTATACTTCTTTAAATCATCTCCTACTGCAATATGTGAATCCAAACAAATTCTGTCCCTACCTCCCTCCTAAGTCCCACGGGAAAGTGAGGGCAAAAGGAAGTAGTTTTCTGCCTTCTGCTGATTCTCTGCATTTGAGGCAGACGCAAAGTACAAACATAAGAAAGGCAATTTTTACCCAACTAGTGATCTAATCCGACAGCTTCTGGTTTGGCAAGCAAAATGGGGAGAGAAATTCCTTTAGCAAACATTAATCATTGATTACACCATCACTTTTAGTTTTGGAAAGGCTCTGATGAATATTTTTTTGTTGGATTTTTGTAAGCCTGCTTTCAAGTGCTTACTGCACACCTGAAGGTACAGGTGGGGTTTTCTGGCCAATCGATGGTGAGAATTCTTGTCTTCATATCCACTTTTACTCCATCAGCCTTTACAACAACCTGAAAAAAAATTTCTCCTATAATCATGATCATTCCTTGCTCAATAAATCCATGTGACAAATGTGATAAAACCTTCATTTTTCAGGCCCTCGCTGCTGTTTTACATTAATCAATGCCTGATCTGTGCAAGCCATAGCCTAAACCTGTATTATTAAAACAGCTTCTCCCATGTACTCAAACAAATAATAAAAAAATCCTGCTACTTAGACCAAGATTATCACTCCAATTAGCACAAAAACATCATAGATGGTAATAACTTGTTAAATGATTAGAAAACATAACGTCTAACCACATAAAAAGTTACTCAGGCATAAAGTACTTTTTCAAGGAGATGAGCAGGATTGCTTTTTTTTCCCCTCTCCAAATAGTTTAATCTGTTTGATATGGCCCTTTTACAACATGCTGCTAAGGTCCATTTTTCAATGGTTGAATTGTTCTTCTCAAAGAGGCTGAAGGAACTCACATATGCCTAATGCAGAAGAATGTTATTTGGAAACACTTCTGCTCACCATCTTTCTTCAGTATCTGCATCCTCATTCATATAGCTCAGTACAAACAAATCTTAAATGTATTTAATTTCTACATGTTGCTAGTGGTTTTACTGTGTTATTAAAGGGTAACATTAAAATGGCAAAACAGGCAGCAATGCCTGCAGCAAAAAAGGAAATGTCCAGAAAAATAGATGTGCAAAAATATCCAACCTACATATATCATCTACTTACATCAGGTCAAACCCTGGTTTTGGTTTTCCCCACAGCTGATGGCAGAAAACTGTCTTTTTCAACAGTTTTCAAAACTTCTTGAAATTAAAAGCTGTGGATTCATTCTTGTAAGTAAGGAGATCAATAAACTTAAAGCCACGGGTCACTGAAAACATTGTGGCTTTATCTGAGGGCATAAACATGCATTTACAGCCTAGCTTTACTCTGACCCTGCTCTCCCCACCGTGCGTTACACTTCCTCCATTTCACAAATAGGAGAAAATTCTGCTTTAGAAGTATCCTAGGCATCTTCGGCACCACATAGCAGAGATTGCTGTACAGGGCTTCCTTTTCTGCTCCTACGCTAGCTGACATCCTCCTCGAGAGAGGCGGCAATGCCCACGTACACCAGCACTAAGGGCATCAAGGGGCAGTGCAGGACAAGACCCAGGAGCTGACCCAGCTCCTCCCTTTCAAGCGGCTTCTGACACAACAGGGTGGAGGCAGAGGAGAGCTGCCTCATCTATATAAAGCCAGGAGAAACTTCTGTTTAGCAGGTTAAACTTTTCTCCCACTTAATAGGTTATACAAAATTTTCTTGAACACATGAAACTCTGCAGGTGGATTTCAATTTGATCTTTCACTGAATCTTCAAGGCAAAATATGAGACGAAATCCATAAAACACAGACTCTGAACTTAGTCACCTGCATACCATCCTACGTTTTATCTTTAAACTACTTTGTGAATCTCATTTTATTAAAACGGGTATAACAAGTGAGGTCTCCTAGCCTTGAAGGGAAAATTTTCCACTGTCAGTATGTCTCAACAACACAGCGCATAAAGAGAATGGAAACAGACTTTTCTGCAAAAAGAAGAGGCTCATTTGGTTCTGGTGCAACCCGAGCAGTCTGACTTACTTGAAAAGCTGCAGAAGTAAACGGTGAGCTTTTAAGCAGGAAGCAGGGCCAGATGCTCACCACTGCCTATGTAAGCTGCAAATATCGATTTCCATTAACAATAACTTTTATTCTCTGATAAGTGGGTTAAAAAAAAAAAAATCAGGCAGATCAAATTTCCCGTTTTAATCACTTCCTGAGGAACTCAGACCTTCCACAATCCAAACCTCAGAACGTAAGACATACCAATATGTTACAAAGTTTTTAACAAACTTAATGCAGAGCTTAACGCAGCCAAGATCAGACTTTTCTTCAAAATCACTCTTCAGTGAACTATCTGTTCATTAACCAAAATACAAACTGACTCCACAAACATTTAAATTCCTTTTTGTACCTGATAGGCAATGCTGTCTAAAAGTTATGCTTTCAGGTTTTTTGCCTTAAATTACGACAAACGCTGTTTTGTCCAATATGGACCATCAGCAAGGTACACACAAGCTAGCTGAAATGCCAAACGAGCTGCAACATGAGGCATAAAGCTTTCCCATCTCGGTAAGCAGACTAGAAGTCCATCCAGCTCACTAGTCTGTCTCCAGCAGCATAACGTGACATTTAGAGGATGATTCCTTTTTCTTTTTTGGCATGCCTATTATTGTGTAATTCAATTATCAGGAAGTTCTTAAACTTCCTAGCCACATATTTCACCCACATAATCATGTTTAATAGCCACCGACAAAGAAACTCACAGGTTGATCCCATTTTCATTTTGAAACCATTTAAGCTTTCTGTCTGGCATCTCACAACAAACCTTCACAACTCGGAGTGACATACTGAGAGATGACTATGAATCATCCAAAATATTAACATTCTTTACTCACCTTCCCAATCCCCTTGATGACTTCATAAGCCCTGTTTAGCCAGCCCTTTCCCAAGACAACAGACTGAACACAACTCACCCTGCAGGGAAGTTTGTAGCTTCATCCATTCCTGATTGCCTTGTCTGTACTTTTATCAGACCTTCTTTTGAAGTCGAACGCTGTGTTTTAGCACTGAACTATGTGGCAGTGCAATTCAGATTCTCACAGCAATGACATTGTGTTTTTCAAGTTCCTCTTCAGCAATTTTTATGTAACTTGTTTACTATTGCTGAATACCGAACTGATTCAGACAACTATCAATACCAATTGGTATTTTCCAGGTTGTAACAAACAATTGGGTTTATGATTCTGTATGTACACACTCACTGTCATTTTGCACTTCCTGACATGAAATTTAGTGTTAGTCACTCAGTGCCTCCGGATCCCTCTACAGTACTTCATGATCTCATTGTCAATTCCCTTATTCAGGTGGTTTCCAGATATTCCGAACATCAGTGTCCCTAACTGTGATCCAGAATTCCACCTGGGATTTCCATCTAGACGTCCATCAATCCTTTCCCCCACCTTTCAACCACTTCGTATTAACTTACTTATAACTACGTGTTAAGACAGATTTCTCTCTGCTGAAGACATCATTGCTTTTCCAAGTACTATTTTTCTTTACCTGCTTATCACCTTGGGTTTTCCACTCAAGCAGTACCAAACTCATATTTACTAGTCTCTAGCTCTCAGACTCAAGAGTTAAATGCCTTATAAAAATGTGCCAAATGTAAAAAGAGCCATTCTACTGAAAAGTTAAGTAGATATGAGCATTAGATGGTCTCACACCACAGCTCAGCAGTTTTACACATTAGTTCCTTTAAAATTCTTGAGGAAATGCTAGTCACTCTAGAGAATTTCTTACTCTTCTTTTTTAATGAAGTTTCAGATGAAGATAGTTCCTCAGACTCATTCTCATTCCACAACGAATCTCTGGTACAACAATCTCACAGCTTGCTTTCTGGCATTAGAAAAGGTTTTTAGAACTAACTGCCCCACCTCTAGCAACTTGCTTACTAAAATTCTCTTTTGGCCTATATGACAATGATTTTACATTTCATTTGCCAGAGATATGTTCTGCCCATCTTCCAGCTTTGGAAGAATCTTCCCCTTTGTATGAAAAAAGCGATTGTTCAAAGAAAATTCTGTACTTTGCTGCCTAGACACATTATGTTTTTTAGACCTTTAAGCTTTTTTTTTGACTTCTGGTTTACCTTTACTTACGTAAGCAATCTATAAAGGTACTATTACTATCATGTCATATAAATTAAAAGCCTTTAGTTTAATACACATTTTAAGAACTAATCACACAGCAGGGTAGGTACTTTCCATTATGAAACCTAACATTTAATCTCAATATAAATTAACAATCTAGCAATCCTGCATTCAGCACACAGAAGCAATGTTTTAGAAGTAAACATGGGATTAGACTAATGTTTTAAATACTGCAGATTTTAGTTAGTAGTTAACCATGTACAATCCAAAATACTGCAACTCCCCATTTTTGCTCAGGTTAAGATGGGATTAACTTAACAGGACACCAAATAATTCACAATGACCAAATGCGTAACAAGAATGTTAATGAAATTCCTTATTATATTGCTCAAAGATATACTGCTACAGTCTAGAAGCCTATATGAGGAGACTGAACACACAAAAAAATCCCCTTCCACAAATAAAGTTTAATCACATACCAGTTAGCAATATCTTTGTGAGCTACTAGGTTCTGGAGGAATGCTTGTAGTCCCAACTGTCGATCTTCCAAGAAGTCAGGATTATAATTATCCTTGAACCAGCGCTTTGGTGGAAGGGCCAGCCGAAAGCCTGGAAACATATCTTTTAACTGAAATAGAAATCAAAGCCAAATGAAGAAAACCAAGGGAAAAGGGCTTGAAGAAATACTGAATTTGACACAGGCACTGACTTGACTCAGAATTACAAGATCTTTCTGTCTTTCGTTAAGTTCAAGCACAAGGTAAGTCTCAACTATAATTACAATCCAAATTACAGCATAAATTGTGGACACAGTTCTGTCACTTGTTGTGTTGCCTTACTGCAATCAAATGACCTCTCAAATTTACCATATAAAAATAGGAATGAAGAATTTGCCTTGTTATTTAATGTCTCTGAGTCATCTATTTAATGCCTTTGAGTCAGTAAATATAAGAAATTTGTATGTGAGTAAAAAGTATCAGATGAGTAAGCATTGCTACTTCTAAAGTACTTGGGGATAATAAGTACTATATAAATAAAATATATAAAAGCCCATTACAGACCCAGAACTCTGCAACTCATGTTTTTTGGGGGGCTATCAGAATGAATTACAACATATGCATAAATACTCCTAGTAAAGAGTACCTCTTTGTACACCCAGAATATTAAAATTTCAGTATGCATGGATGTGGCTCAAACCCTGCACTAACAGGCAAATTTGCATTTTTGAGTTACTTAAATACTAATGAGGTACACTCAACCTCAGATATACCTCTATTTTTTCTTTGAATTCAGGAATGAAATATGCAAGTGAATGGAAGAAAATTAAATAATGATGGACTTGTCCAAGACTGCCAATTAACTGTTTTTCTAATATGCATGAAGATTAAAAAAAAAAAGTTTCATAAAAGACAAGTTTTAAATGCCTTTTCTTAGAAGGGATGGTTGAAAAAAATCTCAGAGAGGATTTATAACCAACAGGACAAAAGCAAACAGATTTCACAAAACAAGAATTATTAAATCTTTTTCTGAAGACAGGATCAAGCCAACTTCTGTCGGGGAGGTACTGTGTACACCTAATACATCCGTAGGAATGTTCCAGTGACAGAGATTCCAGAATCTGCCTTGAAAACTGTTCAGCAGTCAATGTTCACATAGCTGAAAAATAATTCTTCAGTGGGCATCTTAGTCCTTGCACAGCAAAATTTAAGGCTTGGGACAGCAAACTTTATTTAACTACTCTTTAGGGACTCTTGGAAAGAGCTAATGGGTAGCTCTTTCAGCAGATTAAGTTTTTTAAAAATGAAAACAGATATTGTATTTCAGCTAGAATCCCTCTGCACAGTTTAAAGGAAGAACCACGTTAGTGGATCACCTTTGCCCCTGTAAGTACCATTTCACAGTAGAAGGGAGCTTTTTTAACATCACAAGCATTGTATATTTGAATAGCCCATGAGAACTACCAGTTTCTTATTTATAGAATGATTTATTGTCAAAGCCTTGCTCTTTATTTCTGTATTTAATTATTTAAGTATATCTTTTCCTCTTCTCTTACTGAATTCCATCTTGATCTTTTTAAATTTAGCTCTGGTCATTCAAATTTGCTTTCTCTCTTGCCAAGTTATCATTAGTACCATGTAAGTATACTCTATGCTCCATAACACTGCAAGTTAATAAAATACTGAATAGAACCAAACCCAGAAAAGACAACAAAATGAGTTCCTGTGTTAGTTGTAGAGAGGACCAGAGACAACCACTGCTGTGAAAGCTTTCCAACCACACAGATTTCTACTTAATGGTAATTTCACTTGGCTGGTTATGTAGATCATGTAATTTATTTCTAAGGAAAGAGCATGCCTACCCACACATTACTCCTTTTGCAGATGAAGAGAGTATGAGAAAGCTAACTGCTGTCAGCTGTCTAATTTCCAACAGCACAGACCCCAGGCATACTTTCTTGAACACTCCTCAGACAAAGCAGGAAAACCCATGGGTCAGACAAGTTACATTGGCTGTGATTGCTTGCTTGGATCCAGCATCTTTTCTAGATGTCCCTCCCCTACGTCATCATGTGACAAATGATGCCTGTCACATGGCATAGTCTCAGGGAGAAATCGTTAACTTCTTGGTTGCTAAGTCTGGCCACTGAATGATTTCTTCTACCTGTCTGTATTTTATCTTTGCCCCTAACTCTTAAATTCTGACACGTTCCAACATCCACTCACATTAAAACTTTTGAAATACTGTCTTTTGATGTCATATTAATGGTCTTTGCTGTACCATTTGCTCTTTGCTTCCCATAGTTGTCTCTCAAGTAACAGATCTAATATTTTACTGCCTCCTCCCCTTACTTCAGTCTCTGATGTTTTATACGAGTTCATCTATTGCTCTTAGCATGCTGTGACAGTCCACACTGCATCTCAGCACTTCTGCCTTATTTAGAAGTCTCTATTATTTTCCCTGTGCTGATCTCTATTGTTATGTTGGGGTTTCTTTCAATTACTTTTGACTTTCAGATCACTATGTGGCTTCTTGTGTACCCATACAGGCAACATCTTCTCTTTGTTTTACATTGGAATACTTTGCCATCATCTTATATTTGTCTTCTATCAGTAGGGTACAGAGTTTTCATAACCTTTTCATTGTCTACAAAGTGGATAGCTTTGACATTCAAAGAACTTGTGGCTCACACTTGAAATCTGTTCTTTTCAAGTCTTAACCTGCTACTGCACTTACTCGTTTCATTCACAAAGAAGAGTTCATGATTTTGAACTCTTACTTCCATTAATTTCTATTTTATTAGCTGCTGCTTGCAAAAAATATTTCAGAAAGCAGTGGAAGTACAAAACGCTTTCTAGGAACATACTGCTCTCCATTTTGCCTTATTTATTTTCTTTGAGATAAGGGCAAATAAAGAACACTATTACTAAGTTCACTAGCTGCATCTATTAGTAAACTGAGCTGCATTCATTCATTCATCTAGTCCTGATTTTACCTACACACATCCCCATTGTGACACTGTCCCTATTCTCACGTTCTCCATTTTTAGCCACTGCTGAAGTCCAATTCTCAATTCAGTCTGGACTTACAAATAAGTACATGCCTGACACATACAAAACATATTGCTCTTGTATTTATCTGGTCTTCCTGAAAAGCCATTCCCCTTCCATTAAAATTCAAACTGACTGATAGAGTGATCCGAATATTCACTTCAGTTGGTATTTAATGCCATTTACTCTCATTTCAGAGGGTGAGTAATTTGCCACCAACCTCAAGAAGGATGATGAGGAAAAGGATTCATAACATATTGTATTTCTCTTGTTTACATTGGATTTGTAGGAGATAAGGTACAGGAAATCCTGAAAGCATATATGTGTGCAACTTCACATCTATATTTGTCACTAGAAACCAACGAATTGCAGATGTGCCCCGTGCCTTTTGAATCACTGATGCATATAACCATTTACTCTTCACTTCATGAGATCATGCTTTTTATAATGCAGAAATGCCAGCTCCAGGAACTGAAATGTACCATAAGTCTGAAGTTTCAAGAGAATTACAGAATAGTATCAAAATAAAACTTTAGAAGTAGGCTGAAAGATGTACTTCTCTCAGCTTCAGTCAGTAACTCAAGGGAAAAATAAAGTTCCTGCTTTTAAACAGAAATCCTAATACCTATAAATCATGTTATAAGCCAAATTTGTTTTGTCAAAGATTTGACTGCAAAGACTAAGGACTTCCCTTGTAAAATCCAAATACCTATTCTAAAATAAATACCTGTGGCATTTAACTTTTTCAGTCTACTGATAACAATACTAAAAGTTAATGCACGTAAGCCAGCTCTTGGCCTGTATCTCACAGGATGACGAAAATACAAAATGCTGTATGACTTCTGCAATTTGGATAGAAATCCCCAGAACATCACCACCTCAAAAGCCAGGCTTTTGCCAATACCAAGACATTCCTTAATTTAGGACAGACAGAATTAAAACACCTAAGTTTCTTCAGAAAGAAATCTCTAAACTAATGCACATTCAACAGTCTGTGGTACTTTTAGACTGCACTGATGCTTTAAAGGTAACTTAAAGATATTTAGGTTATTGGAGACCAGTAACAAGCGGTGTTCCTCAGGGGTCGGTGTTAGGACCGGTGCTGTTTAACATCTTTGTAAGTGACATGAAAGGTGGGATTGAGTGCACCCTCAGCAAGTTTGCCGACGACACCAAGCTGTGTGATGCGGTTGACATGCTGGAGGGAAGGGATGGCATCCAGAGGGACCTGGACAGGCTGGGGGGGGGGGGCACTGCCAACCTCATGGAGTTCAACTTGCATCCAAGTGCAAGGTCCTGCACCTGGATCACAGCAATCCCAAGCACAATTCTCCAGGCTGGGTGGAGAATGGATCAAGAGCAGCCCTGAGGAGAAGACCTTGGGGGTACTGGTGGATGAAAAGCTGGACAGGAGCCGGCAGTGTGTGTTGGCAGCCCAGAAGGAAAGAAGCGACAAAAATGTGAGACAATGAAAATGAAACATGAAAGATGAGTGAAGCAAATGAGCTGAAAATTTACCAATGTCTAATTCTTACCTTGTCATTCAGTCTGGAGAAGTCAGTGTACCGCCTGAAAACCACCCAGCTTTCCTCTGGACTTCTTTTTACTAGTATTTTGTATACCTGTGTGGAAAAACAGGAATATCAGAAAAATGTACAGAACTTTACGCTGCATTGGCTGGAAGGCTGGTGTTATCTTTTATTTCTTAAGAAAACAAAACCTGTGGATTTTTAACTTCGTTATCAGCACAAATAGTATAAATTAAGAATTTAAGGAAGGAGTTTCTATAATTCCTAAATACATTTAGCTATTTCTCTCCATAAGAGGATTTGTGAAACTGCATCCAGATTTTTTTCCCCAGGAAAAAACAAGTCTCAGCTATCAAAGAGCTAAGTATGTTTTAGTAATTACCTCAAGCTTTGCTGAGTTATAATTTTACTCATTAATCCTTGAGGCCTATCTGGTTTTAAGATAACTGACTGTTATATTGATTAAAAATGTCTCATTTGACTGGGTTCACAAGGAAAAGCGATGCAGGATAAAAGTAACATCCTGCTTTCGTCCCATTTGTCCTGAACATTAGGTTTTGTCTTCGTAGGCAGAATACGACCACTTTCCCTAGAAAACTGCATCAGAACAATCAGACTAGCACCAAGTAACATATCCTTTGAATCTGATTTAGCAAGACAACAGTACAGCAGTACCATTCTCCTATTTAAAACCAAATGGATCAATCAATCAATAATAATAAAGAAATAAAACAATTACCTTTTAGGAGGACTGATACTCAAATACCTAAGGACAATGAATCTCACACCACACAACTTCAACTAGAAGATATTAAACAGTGTCTAGGAAAGAAGGGTTCTCACATCACAGCCTTACTCACTCCAATATAAGATAAAGCAGCTCTGCAGTTTTATTGGGTTAGCTTTCCCAGCCTAGGTGTTCTTTAGCTAAAAGTAGTAAAATACATGGAAGACAAAAATATTTTTGGAACGATAATCATAAACAATCACTTACAGACAGACATTTAACCAAATTAGAGAATGTTTTAAATAGAATGTGGTACACAGTCAAATCTTTCCCAGTGTTTCACGTTTTCACCACAGGTTGTCTTAGCTGATAAATGTGTTTTTCTTGATGCAGTCCCAGCATGTGATAATCACTGTGCTAGCCAACATGTGGGAGACTGCTTTTAATACACTATCAATACAAAATTGCTAAGCTGCAGACAGTTACACAAAACACAGATGCTGCTGCTTGGAATCTGCAGAAGTCATGTACTGTGATAGAGGTAATATTTCAGTCATTAACAAAAAAATATTGTCTTTTAAAATTTATGCTGCAAGACATGCCTGTGAAGCCAGAATTAAAAAGTAATTCTTCTGCCTTACATTTTCTGTTTGTCCAAATGTTTTAGCTGTGTCATACCAAAAGTATAAACAGAGTTATATTTTACAAAATTTCATAAAGCAGAACTGCTATACTCTTGAAGTGAAGACTCTTTGCTAGTACACAGTAAAACATAGAACAAGCAGCTTTGGCATATCCTTGCTGATTTACTTGTTCATCAGCATTCTGTTCTATTCTTTTATTCTACTAAAACTTCTGTAAAGACCATTGCATGCAAATGTGGAAAAAAAATGCAGCTAGCCTGAGCTTCACTTTGAATGGTTTTCAAGTAAATATTAGAGAACTTAAAAAAAACTTCACAAATTAAAGTTATAAAGGGTAGAATCAGCTCATCATTACTGGCAAAAAAAACCCAACCCACGAACCCCAAAGAAAAACAAAAACTCTAAAGACTGTCCACCTGAAACAAACATTTTTGGTTATCTTGCCAAAGTTGAAGAAAACTTTGGGTTCCCCCCCCTTCTATTTTTTTCTCCTTTTATCCCTCTTCCCCCACCCCCTGATTCGTAATTAATAAAAAAGCAGAAGTAGATTATTACAAAACCAACTGTCAGTTCCTTCACACAAGGTTTTGAGAAAAAAACCTACAAATTAATTCAACAAATTTAAGTAATTCCAGTCAATCCTGAATTGCCTTATTCCACAAACACAAAATATTCAATGAAAACATGCCAATATTTAGTAACAACCAGTGGCTGATTCACCATCTCATTATCATTTCTAGTTGGCCTAAAAAAAAAGCGCTAATTGAACATTCCAGGACCGCCAACTCATTTGAGCCCAACTGCTTACAAACAGAGGCATTTTTCAGCCTAGGTTTTTGCTCCCATAAGCTTCAGCAGCTATGTACTCCAACACGCACTAACACTTGAGTGATTTGCTAATTTCAAGAGTTAAGTAATTCAGACTCATATTTTTGGGAGCTATGCCATGTTAATAAGCAGTAAAAAACTTCAGCAATTGAGTCTCTTCTCCTTTACAGACGATTTCAATTTATATTTCCACTGTCTTCCATCTCATTGATTTTGCATTATAGAAGCAGCCAAAATTTCTAGGACTAATTACTCACTGGTTTTAATGCACAACAGCAAGGCCATTTTCAACATGCAACTGAAAACGAACAGTTAATTACATGCTTCCAGAAACAAACACAGCAACAGTTGAAGTGAATTCAGAAAGAGGAAGGATGCAGTCAAGCATTTTAATGATGAAGAAAATCATTTGCACTGTGACCTTCTACAGACGATGACAACTTTGACCCCTTATTTTAACGACAGTTGAAGAACACTGCATATGAACAATGGAATATGCCGTGCCATATTTTCAGACTATCCCCTTTATATATAACAATACTAATAATTCATTTAGTTTTAAAGGTGTTATTTAAAAGGAATCTTTTAATCTACATGTAAAAAAGAAATTGGCTCTTTTCTTAAGCTACCATGCATGAAGATGCTAGACAAGGTGTCATTCTCAAATAATTAAAAAGCAGCATTGTTTAATTCTTTGCAAAAAAGAACATGATTTTACTAGTATTTGAACTGTCATAAGGGCATTTAGCTTCCACTTTTCTAATCTAAAGGAAAATAGGAGAAAAAAAAATGCCTATTTCCTCCTCCTTACATATTTGTGATTAATGTTGCTTTCCTGAAATAATGTAATTAATAAGTAACTAGTAACAAACAACATCCATCAGTCCCACAAGCATTGCTGAATTATCTCAAAGAAGTGTTTCAACCACATCTACAAAAACAAACGCACAAATGCCTGAATATATTTATGGCATGTAAAAACCTGAATTGCCAGCTACAGTACATTTTGAGAAAAATCAATACAAATTAGTTAAGCTTCTGTTCTGTCATGAGATACTGCGTATGTGACATCACACTCCGCTGTGAACAGATTTCCACTTATCAGAAACGAAACCTAGCAATGCAAGCAGCTGTAAACTATGTGTTTGCACTTCAATTCAAATGGTTTATGTTACTAGTAACTGTAAAAGGCAAATATCAGGGTGTCTTATCATTAATGTCAAAGACTACATTTTATTTTAGATGTTTAACTACCCAGAACTTCTAGAAGTTCAATTTCACAAGGAACTGTAACTTTGCATGGAATTCCTGACTTTTTCAGCAGAAACTGATACCTGAAGTAGCATGAATCCCTTCTATTCCATGTACACAATGACAGGAAAGATTGCTTCTGAGTCTCAATTTTCCAACCTGTATAACAGGAATGATATTTTCCTGTCAGATGGCTGTACTTCGAAGCTAAATTGGTATTTGTAAAGTATTCCAACATCCCTGAACTGCAGGAATAATTACTGAAAGAGAATGCAAAGACAGTCAATCATTACCTTGTAATTACAGGTTGAACTATACTATCCCCAAAACTTACAGTGAATTTTGCCCTTTCCTCCATCACCTCATAACCCAGTATAGTGGGCGTGGTTGGTCGATCTTCCCAGCTCCTGGAATCTGTGTTTTGCTCTATTTCTTCTACAGGTTGAGTACAGTATTCTATGGATGTATCCACACCAGTAAATTTAGTCCTAACAAGGGGACTACTACACACAGACGACGTAGAACCAATCTGGTCAGGCACGCTCATCTTTTTAAAACTATCAATTGTGGAGTCCTCCAGCTGTCCTTTTGAGGAGCTGGAACTCGTCGAGATGCTCCCAAAAGAAGAACTTCTTTGGTTTCTGTTTGTAAAGCTGGATGATGAACTTCCAACAGGAATAGGAACGGGAACGTATGGTGTTGCCATCCTTCATGAAAAGGACACTTCGGCTTTTGGTCCAGGAGTTTAATGTTCATTTACTGTATAAGCCATGTTTTCTCTTCTTTTCCAGAACAGTACCTGCCGTGAAGAACAGAAAATGTTGTAACTTTTAAGTGAAAGCAACAACTAAGATACTGCTTTGGAAGAATCTATGGCAGCAATGAGATGGTACATAGCAGTACTAATGGTTAAATATTGTCACAAGGAATTTGGCTTTATATCAAATGCCGTTTTTAAATTAGATCTCTACAATTGGACAGAGCGCTTCACAGGAGTTCTGCCTTTCACTGCTAGTAAAATAAAAGTGACAGAAAAGTTAGATTACAAAAGAGAAAAATATTTTTGTCATCTCTGATGTAAGTGCTATCTTGTTTTATTGAAAAAGTCAGCATTTTTCAGGCATATCTAAGAAGCTGGTGTAGTTTTAATGACTGTTTAGCATAAACAGTACAAAAGCTTTCCTCAGAACTGCTTCTATAAGGTATCCAGAGCAGACTACATGAGCCAAACATACATGCAACAACACTCATGACCTGAATCAAAAGACAACACGGTCAACAACTTAAGTGAAAAACATATTTGCATGTACTACATATTCACTGAAGTATAATGGATCTGTTTTGAAAGTGAAATATTTTTTCAAAACAACCCTGTTGCACATAATGCTGCAGACATTTGTAACAATGTTAACTGGGCACATATTCTCTAGCTTGAATTGGAGCAATTAAGTTTTACAAGCATGCACATCGAAAGTGGTGTTGTAATAGCAGCTAGTCTTACATTCCAGCAGACTGAATAATAAAAAAAAACCCCAAAAGCAAAAAACCACAAACAACTTCAGGGAAAAGAAGATAAATAAAAGATTCAATATTTTTTCTTCAAGAAAACCATTTCAAGCCAAAATTTATCTTTTGTGTGCACATTTCTAAAAAAAGCAAAAGAAAATTAAGACAGTAGTAGTATCAAACTGCCAAAAAAAGTACCATCTCCTCATTTTAACAAAGTACCGGAAGAAGAGCTCATACAAGATGCAAATTAGATACCACCTCTTTGGATTAATAGAGTTTGAGTCACCACCTATTTCACCCGAGTACACCCATCAACCACGAGGCTGTAGGCAGTCTGAAATGGGAAACCAACAACCCGATTCGCGTCACATATATAATCAATCATCTACTAAAGCAAAAACCAAATGAGCTTCTTAATTGCCTGGGTGAAGCGATGCTTTCATTCTCTTGCTCCAAATAAATCTCTGAGAACATGAATAACAAAATATAATTATATGAACCAGCATCAACAAGACTGAAAAATGCCCTTGAAAGAAGTCCTTGAGAGAAGGAAAAAACCCAAACTTCCTCATCCTTCCTGATACACAGGGAGATCTTCAAACACTACATCAGAGAGCTCAGGGAACTTGACCAACATGAACAATTTCAAACTGGCAGTGTCTCCTTGGAAGTACTTCTGCTTCACTGTGTGATGAGTCTGGCAGCATCCTAGGGAGCAGAAGTGTCAACATCCCAAACTCCTGCTGACTGACTTTGCTGGTCAGGTGCAGGATTTGGAATGTGCTGCAACAGAAGCTGCTGGATAGTCCTGTGCTTGGTTGTGTGACTTAACCCCATGCGTCAGGCAGCTGATCTGCTTCAGCCTCACACAATTTGAAAGAAGCAAGTCACACCTGGCTTAGAAACAAGACAGTGTCCTGGAGCTTGACCAAGATCTAAATCCCCTTTTTCCACCTCTACCTCAGTAAGCAAGTATGTTTTCTGCCTCAAACAACAAGCTTCGCAATATTTTTTTTAATAGAGGCAGAAATACCAAGACATGAAGTATTCTTAGGTGGATTTTCTCTAGCAATATTTTTGTCAGTATAGAACATTGAACAAGGTATTCCTTTTTCACTTGCCACTGTAGTGACTCGTCCACTTTATCAGCATAAGGAAGTAGGAGCCTCCGTTAAATAACACCCACCCAGCTACGTTCCTGGCAGGTGTAGGATTAAATCCCTATAAGCAGGAGAACACGACTGAGTCCAGGATTGCAATCAATTGAAGGAACTGCAAATACATAAATACATACATGAAGTAGTTATCTTCTGCTGCGTGACTTTATAAATCTGAACCAGGAAAGGAAAATAAGCTCACATCTCAGTCCAGTTAAGTTCACCCAGGTGTTCATAGAATTTTGAGGAGAAAAAAGCTGTATTTTTCAGTACTTTTAATAAAAAAACAAATCTAAAAAAAATTCCACAAACCATGACAACAATTTCATCCGTTACCATACGTTAGAAGTGTCTCTTCTAGAAAAGCTTCTTTCTTTAAACTGAAATGCCAGTCAAGAACTTACATACTTAATATTACTGGTAAATGCACATGCATTACCAAAAGCCTGTAACTATATTGGCCAGCGACACAGCTCAACACAAACACACCTGCAAAGTAAAGCACTTGGTGCTAAGAATTCAACATCGACACTATCCATGCTTCAGCAGCTTTTATATCAGACTAGCTGTCATTTGGTACCAGTGACTGAATGCTTATTAGCAGCTGGACTGCATTAGCTCTGCTCCCAGGGTACATTTTCTTTAGTGCTGCAAGACCATCTCAAATTGGGAGCTGATGTGTATTAACCAGTGATCACAATATCTGCTTCTAAAGGACATTCTTGACCCAATCTCACACAGTAAACATACCCAGGATAAATAAGAGACTGATACCACCAGCACCATACCCTGATTCCTATAACTCTGAAGAGTAAAAGAATATTTTTTGAGTAACAGAAAGGTCAAGTGAGGAAATGGCACACCTTCTCATTTAATTTGATTTTTTTTTCCCAAAGAAACATAAAAACACTAGATTAGAACTTACCAGATTCATAAATACATATATATGTATGTAAACACATCTTAAAGTGTAAAAGTATCACAATTCCCAAATATCTAACATGTACACATGCTGAATCACAGCAGGGTTTAAAACTGCATTAATTTGTACTTTATGAAAAATAACATTAGAAAGAATACAGCGCTTAAATGAGGATCACAACCTTCTGACTCAAGCCTTTTCTATGAATACAGAAGTTTACTGCCAACTCATGCAATAAACGGAACTGAAAGTAATTTGAGGAAAAAAAAATCCTTTTCAGACAAAACACATTGCTCCATGCTTACATCGGCGCAGCGAAGAGGGAAGGTTTAGGTGCGCTCTGCTCCTGCCCAAGCTTCACCGCGGACTGGCCTCACGTCACTGCACTAAACCAGTAGAATCACTGCACCACACCAACTTTCAGAACAAACAGATCGCTCACAACTCCTAAGAGATAATCCAGCGACTGCACTCTCTTTCTTGTCTAAATATTTACTTGCTTAACTTTTTGCAAGAACTCTGTTTCCTGTTCAGAACCTGTATTTGATTCAGTCTGGTTCCCAACTCTAACGTTAGGGATGAAATAAAAAGAAGGGAACATTTGCTGGAAGTACTGAACTGCTAGATCTGAAACAGGATAGGATGGAGTCCCAGGAACTCCACCGTCACATGCTACAGAACAGCATGACACCAACTTACCCTACTGGGTGTTTACAACAGCCACCTCCCTTTTTGCGGGCGAAGCAAATAGGCTATAATAAAACCACTTAAAAAGGGTTTGCCTCCAGCTTGCAGATATCGCAATTCCAAACCCTTTTAAGCTAATGGTTTGTAGGTTCAGTGAGAAACATGTAAGCCACGCGATTCAAGGATAATAGATTAGAAACAAAACAATCCTTATTTAACAGCTCTAATTGGATTTGGAAGACTTTTAGCTATACAATACTATTTGTGACCTGGTTACACATTACGCCTGTTTGGACAATGCAGTCAGGATGGCCTCTGTTGTTCCGGATTTAATATGCTGCCACAGAATGTCAGCTGAAGAACTAGGGGAATACTTAAAGAGACAACTTGCTAAGTTAGGATTTATGTATTTTTTTAAAGAATAATTTTGTGCCGACTGCAGTGAAATTACTCAACAACAGTGTCACCCGTTTATAAGCTCAGAGTTGGGGGCTATTTATCACACCTCGCATACACACACAGGCGGTAAGTCCTGCCCCTGAGAGCCAGCTACCGAATTAGAAACAGCTGAAGGTAACTCCCCCTCGCCCCCCCAAATTCCACAGCGGGGTGTGCTTACGTTGCCTGGGGATTTCATGGCTCTGAAACAGGCGAAGACCAAAGGAAACCTGCAGGTACCCGGCAGTCCGCCACCGGCGACCAGCACGGCCCCCACAGCGGAGGGAGCCCGCGGGAAGCTCCGCCCGGGGCGCAGCGGGTGCC